TATGTGTCACTTTCCTAAGTGGTCGTAGGAAAAAATATTTTTCGTTGCTGAAATACGTTATTTTAAAATCGAAAAATTATTTATGGCCAAATTTTTTTTATTACTCAGTACAATTTTACTAAATTTGGCAAACGTTTTCGGTGTCATAATATTTACCTATTATCAAAAAAAAATAGTTACCCAAATTAACTTTTCCAGTGGCGTACACCAATGGTTCGTAATACCACCTAAATTTTATGTCACTATCCAAAAAGTTATTTGGACATAAAATTTTAAATTTTTGGATGTTTTATAAATTAATAATGTACTCTTTTTAAAAAATAAAAATTTGAAATTTCAGAATTTTAAAATATATTGAAATAAAAAATATCCACTATTGAGTGTGAATATCTCGAAAACTAATCACTTTATTTAAAAAACAACAGTTTTTGGACCATGGACTAAAATATAGAAGGGGTAACTGATTTTTTGGGTATAGTCGTATTTTATTGCACCAATAGCGTTTGCCAAATTTAGTGAAATTATAATGAGTAATAAAATAAATTCATAATTTTTGATTTTCAACTTTGTTTCGGAAACGAGTAATGTTTTATCTAGGGATATTTCGTTTAATCGGCTTATTTATATTCAGTTGCTCTATCCCATTCTTAATACCACACCCTGTATATATCGCAACGTCTAACAGCCAAAGAACCTAATAAAAAAAGAAAACTGTAATAAAAAAGTGTTTTTATTACGTTATTTAGCCACAATACTTTATTTAGATCTGCATCAGTAAAAATTACTTTCAAAACATTTAATCCCATATTTATATGTACAGTGTATCTACACGTAAGTTGGCGGGATATGAAAACTTTTTTTATGAATTTTAGAAAAAAACATAAACACGTTGACTGCCGAAACGAATTTTGTGGTGGGATCCGCTGAGCCGAAGTAGTTTTTCTAATAAGTTAAGCTTGATTTTACGTTTTAAGAGTAAAGTAGTTTAAGTAAATACTTAGGTAAACTACAACATCCAATAGAAGCCTAAATAAAATATATACACGCGGCGCGGAATTAAAATATTACAAACATAGACTTCGTGCATATAGTCTATTCACGCCATAAAAACAGGTAATAAAAAACGGCCCTGTCGTCAATAACTTAATTTTTTGTTTGTGCACATTATATATTTTTGCCAATCTATGCAGAAAAGACTTTTGTTAGAAGAAAAATTAGTTTTTGTTGGTAGAAATAGTATATTACATTATGAGTGTGGAAAATCACTTTTCACACAAGTGATGTACAATATTTTTCCTACGACCACAAAATAATATCATCAAAAAATGTAAAACCAGTTTATTATTACTATAATAATTAAAATGTATTTAAAAAACTAATTAACAATAATCGTATTTATTTAATTTTCATATTTTATAAACAAAAAAAAACTAAAAAAAATAAAAAAAACAAAAAAAAAATTCTGGCCCCGCCAGGATTTGAACGCGGTCGCTCACCAGGTCTCAAATGGCAAAGTTGATAAGTTCAACGTTCTAACCCTTACGTCAATTGAATGATCCAATCGGTTATGTATTTAACCAGAATAAAGAGCAAACATATCTTAGTACAACTATTTCAATAATTTAACAATCATATCGATTTTAGTATTAATAGGACATTACATAGATTAAAATAGAAATTATGTGTTTAGCATTTTGTGACAGCTACTGCGGAAATTAGCATATTCGTACACGGGTGGAAAGTATATTATTATTCATACGCGTGTAAGGGCACTTTCCTTAGGACTATATAGTGTGATATGTGTCACTTTCCTAAGTGGTCGTAGGAAAAACAATTTTTTGTTGTCACAATAATTTTTTCTAAAAAATCGTCATATATCATATAAATCATATCATATCTATATATATAAAATTGTTTGTCCTGACTGACTGATTGACCTATCAACGTACAGCCAAAACTACTATGCCTAGAAAGCTGAAGTTTGGAACATAGGTTTATTTTATAACGTAAGCATCCGCTAAGAAAGGATTTTTATAAATTTTAACTTGAGTATTTAAATTACAGCTATTAGCATAAATAAATAATGACTTGTTTCAGGGTTTTTGGATTTTCACATTTTAAGGGGAAGAAACGGCGAGGTGAAAGTTTGTATGGGACTATCGATTTTTTTGTTCTCTTTGAAGTTAGAGACATGAAAATTGGAATTGCAGCTACTGACCACAAATTATTTATTACGTGTTTCAGGGTTTTTGGATTTTCACATTTTGAGGGGGGGAAATGGGGGTGAACATTTATTTAAGAATATCTATGTTTTTGATTCTCTTTAAAATTAGAAACATGAAAATTGGAATTGCAGCTACTGAGTACAAATTAACAATGACGTGTTTCAGGGTTTCTGAATTTTCACATTTTAAGGGGGGGAACCAGAGATGAAAGTTTATTTGAAATTATCGAATTTTTTTAAAGGTAGGAACTAAAAAAAGGAATTGTAGGTTCTCATCATAAATAAATAATAAAGTCTTTTTACGGTTTTTGCATTTTCACATTTTAAGGGGGGAAACGGGGGAATGAAAATTTGAAACACAGCTGATAAATAAATAAATAAATAATGATTTGTTTCATGGTTTTTGGATTTTCACATTTTAAGGGGGCAAAATAAAAATTATTAAATTAATAAAAATAAATAAAAATAAATAAAAATAAATAAAAATAAATAAAAATAAATAAAAATAAATAAAAATAAATAAAAATAAATAAAAATAAATAAAAATAAATAAAAATAAATAAAAATAAATAAAACTAAATAAAAATAAATAAATAAAAAATAAAAATAAATAAAAATATATAAAAATAAATAAAAATAAATAAAAATAAATAAAAATAAATAAAAATAAATAAAAATAAATAAAAATAAATAAAAATAAATAAAAATAAATAAAAATAAATAAAAATAAATAAAAATAAATAAAAATAAATAAAAATAAATAAAAATAAATAAAAATAAATAAAAATAAATAAAAATAAATAAAAATAAATAAAAATAAATAAAAATAAATAAAAATAAATAAAAATAAATAAAAATAAATAAAAATAAATAAAAATAAATAAAAATAAATAAAAATAAATAAAAATAAATAAAAATAAATAAAAATAAATAAAAATAAATAAAAATAAATAAAAATAAATAAAAATAATTAAAACTAAATAAAAATAAATAAAAATAAATAAAAATAAATAAAAATAAATAAAAATAAATAAAAATAAATAAAAATAAATAAATAAAAATAAATAAATAAAAATAAATAAAAATAAATAAAAATAAATAAAAATAAATAAAAATAAATAAAAATAAATAAAAATAAATAAAAATAAATAAAAATAAATAAAAATAAATAAAAATAAATAAAAATAAATAAAAATAAATAAAAATAAATAAAAATAAATAAAAATAAATAAAAATAAATAAAAATAAATAAAAATAAATAAATAAAAATAAATAAAAATAAATAAAAATAAATAAAAATAAATAAATAAAAATAAATAAAAATAAATAAAAATAAATAAAAATAAATAAAAATAAATAAAAATAAATAAAAATAAATAAAAATAAATAAAAATAAATAAAAATAAATAAAAATAAATAAAAATAAATAAAAATAAATAAAAATAAATAAAAATAAATAAAAATAAATAAAAATAAATAAAAATAAATAAAAATAAATAAAAATAAATAAAAATAAATAAAAATAAATAAAAATAAATAAAAATAAATAAAAATAAATAAAAATAAATAAAAATAAATAAAAATAAATAAAAATAAATAAAAATAAATAAAAATAAATAAAAATAAATAAAAATAAATAAAAATAAATAAAAATAAATAAAAATAAATAAAAATAAATAAAAATAAATAAAAATAAATAAAAATAAATAAAAATAAATAAAAATAAATAAAAATAAATAAAAATAAATAAAAATAAATAAAAATAAATAAAAATAAATAAAAATAAATAAAAATAAATAAAAATAAATAAAAATAAATAAAAATAAATAAAAATAAATAAAAATAAATAAAAATAAATAAAAATAAATAAAAATAAATAAAAATAAATAAAAATAAATAAAAATAAATAAAAATAAATAAAAATAAATAAAAATAAATAAAAATAAATAAAAATAAATAAAAATAAATAAAAATAAATAAAAATAAATAATTAAATAAAAAAAGGTACTGCGTGCAATCTGCTGATATTAGCAGATGAGAGCCTTACCAGAAATGTGGTATAAAATGAGATAATCAATTAGATTAATATATTTAAATATTAGAATAACCTAATAAACATTAATCTATAATAAATACTATCAAAAATATACGGTGAACAGTAAAACAACATATTATCGCATCTTTCTTTAGGAAGTCATGCATTTTTTTTATACTAAAAACACGACTGCACGCGTGCGAAGTCGCGGACAACAGCTAGTAAATATATAAATGCGAAAGTTTGGATGAAAGGATGTATGGATAAATGTTTGTTGCTCAATCACGCAAGAACGGCTGAACGGATCTGGATGAAATTTGGCACATGCTATTGTAGCTAATTTATTATGGCGAAAGGTGGCGACTTGCTGGTGATACCGCCGAGATGAATCTCTGGCAAATCGCTGGCGATCAACTATGCATACGGGTGTTAGTCTTACTATACAAAATGAGTTATGTTTGAATCTCATAGTTAACCTCGATTTCGAAAAGAAAAGGCAACAGAGTACAAATACTGTATTAAGTCTGTCAGTAAAAAACATGAGTTTTCTGTCCAATTATCCCATGCTATTGCTAGGAAACATGTTTTTTATCGCATATTTATTTTATCGTCGATTTCATCTTGTAGAAACCCATTTTTTTTAATTTTTTAATATTTTTATGTACAATTGAATAAAAAAGTTTTCTTTATTCTTGGCGCGTTTGTTCTATCTTACTCTTGTATTAGATGGATTTTACTTACATGATAATTATTTTCCGGAATTTCTTCTAAAAAAGGATGTTCAATCATTTCCATCATACAAGGACGATATTCATAATCTTTAACCAGACACCTAAAAGGTTACGTTTGAAATAAGTAAAATATTATTTATCTAATTGAGAAATGTTGTAAAAAAGCAATATTTTATAAAGTTGTTCTTGTACAAAAAATGTTTATTTAGCTAGATTAGAATCCCGGACTTTTCGCTGGGTAATCAAAAACTCAAACATCTGCTTCATAGGAGCTTACAGACTATTTAACGTAAATTTCTTTATTTATGTAACAAAATAGTGTAACACCATCAAAAAGATTACGAAAAGTTTGTTTAAAACCTAAAAGCACACTATTTTTATTAATCTTAATTTTTAACCGACTTCAAAAAAGGAAGAGTTTCTCAATTCGTCGTAATATTTTTTTATTTTTCATGTATGTTTAGCGATAATTCTTTACCACCTTGTCCGATTTCTATAATTCTTTTTTGTTAGTCGGGGTACCTCAGGGATGGTCCCATCTAAATTTGGTCTAAATTTAATAATTGGGTCCATGAGAAAATCCTCAGTCTTTATTTTTTAGGTATGTTAACGTTAATTATTTACAACCTTGTCGGATTATTTTTTTGTTAGAAAGGGGATACAATTGGTCAGAATATGATGTTCTATAAGAAAATCAAAAATTTTAATTTTTAAGGGTATCTACACGATTTAGAAGTCGGTTTTTTAATTAAAAAATTATTTATGGTTTATATCAAAAAATTATTAAAATTTCTAAAAATATAATTTTTTATTCACGTACTCACTAATGAAGTCATGGAAATTTTCAGTCCAGTTTGAAATTTTCATTAAAGTGGGTGGTGGATTTGCGACTATCTGAAATAGAGCTCTGGATGGATGCATGTCTTGAAAGGGGGCTTTTCCATCTCCAAGTTCAATAGCTGTTATTCCAAGAGACCAAACATCAACCTAAAATTTTGTAATAAGCAAATTTAACGTATTATCAGTATATTAATTTTTCAATATTAATATGTACAGGGTAGGGCATTTTTTTGTTGATATTCCTATTTTCTAGATAAACTCAATCGTGAATTATTAAATTGTTTAGTAAAAGTATTTTTAGTTTTTTGCATACTGGAAACTATGTCGCTCCATTTTTATCTGGGAATATCTCTACTTCTTCCTCTTTCCTCATTTTAAAATATTGATTCCATTCTATAAAGGATGTTTAAACAAAAAAGCCTAGTTGGTGGGATAGGTAGAACACTGAAAAATAAGTTGGATTTGCTTAGTATACATTTTTCGTAACGATATCCTTTTTGAAGATACAGTGTATTAAAGAAAAACTACTGGCAACATTTTAATGAAATTTTTTACGAATATATTTTGGAAGCTGGATACATCGCATAAATTTGCTTTTATATCTGCCTCTCATAGAGGGCCTAGTTATAGGGTTCGTACCGAGTAGATTTAAACAACTTTTTTTTAGGTTAAATTTTCTAGTCCAATTTTTTTCTGAAATCAAACAATTCAATTTTACATCAAAAAGGTGCTCTCAGTAAAACTCGATACTGTGTACCTTTTTCGAAATATTTTTATACGAAAATGATGATGGTACAAAGTTATTTAAAAAACAATTACCTATTTATTAAAAACAAAAAAAAAAACAACATTATTCTAATGCTAATATTATTAATTTGACAGAAAGTAAAATATTCAAACAGAGTAAGGGTTCAGAATGTACTCCGTTAAAAAAATTAGGGTACGTCGCAAACTACAAAACGGTTTTGTCTGAATTATCTATGAAAAACTGAAATTTTTGAATAGCTAAGACGGTTATGTCGATATTATTAAATAATATTGATAAATACATTAATTACCGTCTCCTCAATATACTTTTATCTAATCATAATTTTAATAAAGAAATCAACGTTTTAAAACAATTAGCTTTTAATAACAACTACAATCCTTCTATTATTGACGTGGTTATTAATAAGGTCAAACTAAAGAAAATGTCCCTACTTGCTTTTAATCCTACTAACGATTCTCCTGCAAATTTTAAATACTTTTCACTACCTTATCTCGGGAAAATTTCCAATGATATCGCTGTAGTTTTTAAGGATTGCAACAATATTAAAATTTCTTTTAAAAATGTTAATTCGATTAAAAGCCAACTGTCACACATTAAGAATGAAATCGAGTTGCTACACAAAAGCGGTATTTATAGATTAAACTGTAACGATTGCAATACTACTTATATAGGGAAAACCGAGAGAAGACTCAACATACGAGCGGGTGAACACATTAGATATTCAGAAAAGTCTACTTTTGGACATCATATTAAATACAATAATCACAATTTCACTCCTTCTGAGAATGTCACTGTCCTTCATAATATTTTTAATTGCAACTTTAAATTAAATCTGCTCGAAGATCTTAAGATACACCGAGAGTTTAATAAAACTAATGTCACATGTGTTAACACTCAAATCCATCTCAATAGCAATGTGCCTCCTCTCTTTAAGAGTATTGGCAACGGTTGGTCTGAAGTTACCTAGCTAGCTTTTCCATGAATCTTCTTACAGCGGAGTTGATCTTGTCTTCTCCGGTGATATTTGATTTCGTGGCCAGGACGGTTTTTCCTCCTCTTATAGCTGGAAAAGTTGGTCTGCCTGCGACTTCGGTTTCACTGGGGTCAGCATGCTCAATTCTGTTGTTTTTAGTCAGGCACCTTTTAATTCCAATAATTTTATATAAAAAATGTGTTTTTACCTTCATTCACTGTATATTTTATAATTCTATTTAATCATTGTAATGTTTGGTTGTTTAAAATTTTAAATTCCCTCCATAACTTGTGCTTGCTAGTTCAGTGTTACCAACCCACTTTTATCTTTGTCAATATTAACTTTTGATCATTTCTCATGAAATTCATTTCTATTTCTCAAGTTGGCAATTGTCTTGACAACTTCATTGTCAATTGTCACTTAGTTCTTTCTGGCACTGTCAAGATGGGTACTTTTTCCGAAATTTCGCTAACCTTTTACGAGTTCTTGTGCCCCAACTTGCCTCCGCCTCTCGGCAGCGACTTGGAAGGGTCAGATGGCTTCATGCTGAAGTACAGTTTTTTATCTTTCTCTACCTTTGAACGGGTGAGATTGTTTATTTCTACGTGTTGGGATGAGCCCCCACGTTTTTTTCTTAAATTTCAACCACCTTTTGGGAGTGGTTCTGTTATTCAAGCCTCAAGTTATGGTGGAGAACAGGGACCGTATTGTGGCAACCCTTTTTAATCTAGTTATATATTAATTTTCAGGCTTCTTCTACATTTATTGACGAGTAAGTTTTCAAGATGTTTTATTTTTTATTCAATGTTCAGGAATATCACGATTTGATTATATTGTTATAGCTCCGTTTTTTCTCTCTTTGTAGTGTCTCTGATGATGGCCTAACAGGGTGAAAGCGCTCGGACTAATATTACTGAGTTTTATTAATAAAACTCTACCTACACACTTTAAATACTTTCGATTCATTTCTCATTAATTAATAATCAAAATATATTCAAATGTTGAATACACCGAAATGTTATTAACCTTACGCGAGTGTTAACGCGTTATGCAGAAAAGTTTCCCAGGAGAAAAAAAAAACATTCAGGAAAAAAAAATATTTTTGTTAGGCCTAGAAAAAGAACCATTCAGAAAGAAAATATTATTTTAAATTTAGTTGACAAAGATCCAATAATTATCGTAAGGAATGTGGCACAACAAACAAATACGTCTTCTGCAAGTAATTGGAAGATACTTAAGGAGTAGCAGCTACAGATGTGTCCAAGAACTCTTGACAAAAGATCTACCAGATAAAGTGAATTTTTGTAAAACGTTACAAGAAAGGACAGCCTTCAATCCCAATTTTTTAAAATGTGTCCTTTTCACCGACCAGGTCACCTTTACGCGACAAGGAACGTCTAACTCTCATAATACATCCTACTGATGCGATGAGAATCCACATGTTAAAAGGGTTTAACATTACCAACACTCGTAAATAAAAGGTAATGTTTGGGCAGCAACTTTAGGTAACAAATTAAATGGAAATCTGAATGGTAATAATAAATACCTCGAGTTTTTATAAAAATCATTTATTCAAGATATTAGAAGATTTAACGCTAAACGAGCGAATGACTCTCTTTTTTATTCAAGATGGAGCTCCTCCGTACTTTGATAGAAGCTGTCGTTATTGGTTGAGTTACCATTATCCGAATCGATGTATCAAAAGAGGTACAGAAGCTTTGATTAATTGGCCTCCATGTTCATGCGATTCAAATCCTTTGGACTACACAGTTTGGTCGTATTATAAGGAAAAGTCTATGCTACAGACTACGTTAAGACTTGCATTACAGAATAATTGAATATCACTTTAATGACCTTATAGCTGATCCTTAACCGTTTAGAAGAATAATGCATTCTTTAGAAGAAAAAAAAAAGGATAGAATTGTGTATACATGAAAAAACGGGGGACATTTCAAACACTTACTCTAACTGATTTAATTTTTTTTGTCAAATTTATTTAATTTTTCTTATAATTCTTTGTTTAATAAATAACAATGGCATTGAATAATTTTTGGTTTATAATAAATAAGTAATTATTGAGACCCTTCCTATAGGGCCTCAGTATTCCGTTCGTACAGACTAAAAAAATTTCTTATTTCCGCTTTTTAAGACTTTTTTCCCGTTTCCGAAAATGTAAATAAGTTTTTTTCGTCTGGTCAGCTGTGATTTTCTTGATTAATTGCTTTTAACTTTCGATTTTCAGAATTTTCGGTTTAACCTAACTACAATAATATCAATATTCCTAAAATCCCATGCATTTCTTATAGGGTTTACTTTACGCATTCCAATCATTCCAATATAGTAAAATCAGAATAATGCTTGGCCATGTCCTTTAACTGTGAAACCATAATTGTGTCGCTCTTAAATGTAAATTTATTTAAAACATTTTAAACGTCAATTAAAAGATTGACAAATGCCAATATATAAAAATAATTCACAAGTCAATAATATTTTTTTTTCTGTTTAATCAGTAGGTATATTTCCATGTTGTGCAAGGTTAGAATGAACGAAAAATATTTACCTAATTTTGCATTTACCTTTCACAAATAACGCACCTAAAAGTGTCACTGGCTCCTCCAGCTTACATCGCACACGTAGGTGAAAATTAAATTTTTACTGTAGAAGTTATACCTAGTTTTGCTGCCGTCCTCGCAGCATTCATCAAAGACGTCTTAAAACGGCTGTTGTAGAAAATACAAGAGTCATATAAACTTGATTAACATAACCACGTTGGCCCAGTGGCTAGCGCACTTACCTTCTGTTTTTGCAACCCGGGTTTAAATCCTGATTGGGGCGTTTTAATTTTTCTTTAAATATCCAAAATGAAAAATCTGACTGTATTACTGTTTATATTTATTACAAGTACATTTTATTTATTATATGGCATAACAGTTAGGCACTTCTGCTATTTATTTATTACTATTTTCAAAACGGTTTAGAAAAAAATGTATACCTAATTTTCCACTCGATGTTTTAAATATGTACCTATTGTTGTTAAAATTCAATGCATCTTTTATGTACTTTAGCAAGATTAGGTATTCATTTAATTTCGTAATATGGGTAACCGTGCTTGTCGACTATGAATGCAGATAGGTAATTGTTTTTTCTTTAGTTCTCTTACCTTGTCAAATAAATAATTTCCAATTTTTTTCAAGTCATTTAAAATGTATTAATATTCAATTTTCTACTCAGTAGTTACCTATTGTAAGTAAAAGTGCGATAGTGAAAACTATAGTTTTAATATGAAATAAATGTGGACCTTGCGCGAATAATAAGTTTCATTTAATTTTACATAGACAGATTTGAAAGGTGCCAAATATTTTTAGATAAATAGGCTTAAGAAGTAAGGACCCCAAAATGTTTTAT